TCGGGCGGACTAGTCCGTTACCCTAGAGGTTGGGTGTGTGCTCGGTCGGAAAGGACACTCGCACACGCACTTCTTTTTGTGACCGATGCAGACAGTCCGGTGGTCGGGTGAAGCACTGTCCGGGCGGACGCAGATTCAAGCAACCTGGTCCTTTTGGCGGCGGTCGGNNGCTTGACCCGACAGGGGAACCGCACCAAAAGACCATCAAGCAACGGCCACGGACGGAATCTAAGGTGCAACGAAGCCTGAGAAAGGCTCAGCTGACGGAAAGAAACGCATGGACGGAGCGGCGGCTATGATTGACCAATCGACATCCACTGATTCGGACGGTGAAAATCCAAAGGATGCCGGATCGGAGCCGCGGCTCAAACCATCGGCAACGTCGTTGGAGATGCCGGGGACATGATCCACCTGCACGGAGATGCGCAAGCGCTCCTGGAGTGTAAAGAAGACACGGAGCACGGAACAAAGGCCGTGAGCCATAGACAGACCTTTCCATGACGCCGACTCCGTAGCGGAATTGTCGAAGCAATGTAGAGCCCGGGGGGATAGCCGCAATGCCAACGGAGCGCTGAAGAATGAGTCGGGCGTCGACGTTGTCACAGAGAGCTTGCCACTTGTCTGGGGAAACTGCAGTAAGCACCGGAGTGAAAGCATGCTGGTCCGCATACAGTGGAGCCAGAGAGGGCCGGAAGCAGCGGAAAAGAGAGGAAAGCCAAAGGAGCTTGCCTGTGAGACGCTCAAGGTCTCGCACCGGACATTCGCGGGAGGCCAAAACGTGATTGGCGAGGTCAACCAGGCGCCTGAGCTTGGACGGATCGAGACGGACTGTGAAGCATTCGAAGTCCATCTGCCATCCGATCCATACCACGGCGGGGGAGAGAGTGCCTTTGCGCCAGCTCATCGGAACTTTAAGGCGCAGGAGCAGGATGACCACCACGGAGGTCCAGAGGGGGGCGGAAAGCCGGTTAAACAGAGCCAGGATGTCATCGACATAAATCCAAGAGGAGTGCCGGACGCGGAGCAGGCGTTTGAGAAGTCGGACAAGCAGGCCCGC